CACGTCATTGTACCTTGAGGATCACATCTAGAAGATGGTGCTGAAACCTAGGAGCTAAATCCAGTTAACTCTGCTGGAGCGACCAGTTGAATGAAGGAGACTTATGTTGCTGTTGACTTAGTAACTCCCTTTTATTCAACGGACCTACTATAGTTTGAGCTAGCAATTGAATTTTCTCCAAAGCCTGCCCTTTGGCCTTGGGAGGGAATCTTAAATGTCTCCTTGCTCATTTTTCAGGGTTCCATTTTGTCCCAGGTATTTAACATCTGCATCAGGGGTAAGCAAACGTGTATGTGTGGGTGCCGTATGGCCCTCCCCATGCTGTTTCTGTAGCCCTTAGCCTTCCCCCAAACCTCTGCTTTGTAATTTTTTTTAAAAAATGAACAGTTTCTGGAAGCTGCTAGGTGTAGGAAATCATCTTTCAAATAGGCCACTGGAAATGAAGCCACTTCTATTTTCAATTTTTGCCCCCCTTTTTTGCAATTTTGGTGGTCTTTGCAGCCTCTGGAGGCAGCAAATTGGCTCCTGAACTTGCCAGAGTCATTCTCCAATATCTAGATGAAATCTCACCTCTCTGTGTCTGATTTTCATCTGCTCCTGGAGAGTGGATTCTAAACCAGTCTCTGAGAGAAGATATGGGAAAGCAGCTTAAAACATGATCCAGACAAGAGAAAGGTACTGCTATCTAGTTGTGTGTGCGTGTGCATGCAAGTCAAGTGTAAGTGACTGGCCTGTACGGTTAGATGGTTAAGAGTTTCCTTCTCCCAAACTATCACAACTCCTGGATTAAGGGATGTGTTTGGATCTTTTGGTAACAGCCGTGGCCAGGAGTATTTTTCAGCATAATCTGCCAGTACTGTACGTAATTGGGGTGCCCTTTGGATGAAATCAGACCTGCCTGCACTTGTTAATGTCTTTGTTAATTGTCAATTCTAAAATACTGTATTGCAATGTGTTGTACAATCTTCCCACCTTTACAAAGCCTTGGAAAGCTTCAGGCAGTGGCGTAGAATGGCTTGTCAGCAATGCAGGTATTGTGCCCCCTAACCTGTGGATGCACAGGTGAGTGAACTGCAAGCTGCAGAAGGGTCTGGATTCCCTACAGTGCACTACCTTCCTGGATTTCCCACAAGCCACACTACCTGCAACAACTAGTGCCCAACTAGCCATAGTGCTGGAGGCTCCTGATGCAGGTGGGTGAAGGATGATATGTGTGTGTGGGGGGGAGAGAAGTGTGAAGCGGTGACAAATTCTCTCACTTTCTGCCTGATTATTCCATACCCATGGCGCCCAAGGGGTGGCAGCGGTTGCGCAGCTCCCTCGTAACTCAGCCCAGTGGCCATTTTACCTCAAGGTGGGGGCCACAGGGGGGGTTGGGGGCAAACAGGAGGCACACGTGTGGTGTATTGGCCAAGGTTTGGTCACCACTTTGCTGGAGCCACCTGCAAAACTCACAGAACATAACTGACACCATTCCCCCCCCGACCAACTCCAAGTTGCCTCACACACCTGTTGCCAGAGGAGTCGCCTGATTCCCAGGCCTGGTGCAGGGCAGGGGACAAGTGCAGAGCCCCCCCATCAGACCTCCTCCATCACCACCCCACGCGCTCCAGCTGCACCTTCAATAAAAGCTGTTTTGGACTTCTTCCAGGCAGTTTCTTATAAAGCAAGGGGGCACGTGGTGCTGGGGAGGTGCAAAGGGAGAACAGCCACCCAAACAGATGATTCTCCAAGGGGGGAGCCTATTCTGTTCTCCCACCCCCTGAGCAGGGATCTAACCAGGAGGCCTGAGCCTGGTTTCGGCACCCAATCAACCAACCATTCCCACCCTCCAAATCCTCTTGGGCAAACGGCTTCCCTTTCTTCCTCACTGGCCCCGTGGCTAGCTTGTCTAGAGCTCCCAATTTACCCAGCCTAGACCCTTCGCCTCCAACAGGGGGGACCCATCTGAAGCCAATGTGCAACAGCTTTTTATATTGCACACACTACCTTGTACATGTAGGCAGTATGATTGCAACTTTATGTGGGAATTGCTGCATTCCTTCACATTCATGTGTATATTTGGACTATTTGACGCTTGTGAGTTTATCTACAGCTAATGGCCATTTCTGTCGTTGCTTCTGGGAGACATATGTATCCATAGGTGAATGTGCATCTGTATCTCCACACACTTGTTTTCTTGAACTCATTCATATATATATGTCCATGTACTTATGTAGTGTTGAACTGACCATATACAGGCATGTGTATGTGTCTCTTGGGGTACAGGGACGTGTACATGTAAGCCTAACAGCATGAAGCATATTGCAGGTATATTGGTACTCATAATTAGGCCAGTTTCCTCACTTATACTTTCTTCCCTTGTCTCCATGGAAACTGAATAGGAAGTAAGTTTTCACTATAACTGTAGCAGATGAAAGGGCAGCTCTTGGTGAAAGAAAGGGGCAGTATGATTTTTGGGTCAATTCTTTGTTTTCAAAGAATAAATAAAATCAATCTTAGAGATTCAACAAGTCTGGAGCCCTGGTGGTGGGTCTCTCACTCTCACTGAGTAGACAGAGCCTCTCTCCTCACGTCAAGAGTTTTATTGAAGATCTCCCAGAACACTGTGTATGGTTTCCAGACACCTTCACCCTGAATACATCTCCTTTTTAACAAGTTAAGCACTAAGGAGAAGATAGGAAGGCGTGACTGGAAATCTTGTCCACTAGAGAGTGTTTCTAAGGTGAGTCCATTTTTTTCTGTTGCTAGCTGAGCAGTTCTTAAACTGATAGAAGCTGGTGTAATATCTGGTTTCGTTTTCTGTTTAACTTGGAGAATACAGGAGGTGGACAAGGTCACTGATAAAGAATATGTTTTGGATGCAGAAGTTCAATCCATGTATCTTGAAGAAGTTCTGGGAAAGACCCTCGTCTGAGACGCTGATGCATGCCAGTCAGGGCCAACTGGCTTTACTAGGGAGAGTATGATCTTAGCCTCAGATAGCGGTTTTTGGGTGTCAGGAAAAGGCAGCAAATTATTAGTTATGTAATTTATTCTTGTATGTTACTGCTGAGAGAGAGAGAGAGAGAGAGGTGCTTCTGCGATTTTCTGGGTCAGGTACCAAAATAGTTGGGCTGACTTGGAGTGGCAAGTACCTTGGCTAGTAAGGAAAACATCTTTTTCTTAACATTAGACAGAAAAATGTCTTGGATTGACCTGGAAGTCACTATGGAGAATTCAGAGAGAGGTGGACTATTCAGCACAGAAAGCCAGACAACCCGTCAATTCCAGATCTCTCTCTCTCTCTCTCTCTCTCTCTCTCTCTCTCCCTCTCATGGCACAGAGTCCTTAACATGTCTAGAATTAAGAACTGACAAGGGAAGACAGGGAGGGGCAGGGGAGTGAAGGAAATGAAAGACTGCTGAACTGCAGTGTTTTCTCTCACCTGTCCATTTGTATTTCCTAAACGGCATATAAAGGCTCTTTGGTTTCTAGAGAAAATATATTCAGGTGCAGAAGGTGTTACATAAGAACATAAGAAACATAAGAAGAGCCCTTGAAGAAGGCCAGTTCCATGCTTGTTGTTGTTTAGTCATCAAGTCATGCCTGACTCTTCGTGACCCCATGGACCAGAGCACGCCAGGCCCTCCTGTCTTCCACTGCCTCCCGGAGTTTGGTCAAATTCATGTTGGTAGCTTGGATGACACTGTCCAACCATCTTGTCTTCTGTCATCCCCTTCTCCTCTTGCCCTCACACTTTACCAACATTAGGGTCTTGTTCCATGCTAGGTGTTATTAAAAAGGAGGTTGAAAATAAAATAGCCAACATTATAGTGCCATTGTACAAAATGCTGGTAAGGCTGCACCTGGAGTATTGCGTACACTTTTGCTTGCCACACCTCAAAAAAGACATAGTGGAACTGGAAAAGGTGCAGAAGAGAGCGACTAAAATGATGACTGGGCTGGGGACCTCCCTTATGAGGAAAGGCTACAGCGTTTGGGGCTCTTTAGTCTAGAGAAAAGGCACCTGAGGGGGGACATGATTGAGACGTATAGCATTATGCATGGGATGGATAAAGTGGATAGAGAGAAGATCTTTTCCCTCTCATGAAATACCAGAACCAGGGGACATCCATTCAAATGTGTGTTGCGAGAGTGAGAACAGACCAAAGAAAATATTTATTTATCTAGCATGTTGTTAGTCTGTGGAACTCCTTGCCACATGATAAGGTGATGGCATCTGGCCTAGATGCCTTTACAAGTTTCCTTGAGGAAAAGCCCATCTCAGGTTACAAGCCATTGATGGGGATGTATAATCTCCAGGCTTAGAAGGAAGGCACCTCAAAATGCCAGATGCAGGGGAGGGGTATCAAGAGACAGGTACCTAGTTGTCTCGTGTGCTCCCAGAGGCATCTGGTGGGGCCCCTGTAAGATACAGGGAGCTGGACTAGAGGGGCCCTTGGCCTGATCCATCAGGGCTCTTCTTATGTTCTTTTCCCCCCCTGTTTAATATTTTATAATGTTTGTTGCTATTCATTTTCATTATGATGGCTTCCCCTTTTTCAAGCAGCTTTGCTCACATAAATTGCAGCTGCTCCATTGCTACTATTTGGGAAGGTGTCTGTTTCATCAGACTGCATACATACCACATACAACCCAGTCAGGTTGTGGGAACTGCTAGCAGGAGCTCACTATGCTCCTAGATGCCATTCCTGCCAGCTGCAGGAATTTGGCTCTCCAAAACCCTTAGATGAAACAGATGGACTCGACTTCCCTGTTGCGTTGGTGAGGGGAATGCCAGAGTGATGTGACAGGAGATACAAAAAGCCTGAGATGTTGGTCTGTGATAGCTTGTGACCTGTTACAAGTCCCCCATCCTTGTTTTGCATTTTCCATTGGGTCTTCTCAACCTTTTTCTTTGCCGTTAACTTTTTGCTCCCTGAAACTTGCCCTACATTTCCTTCTTTTGTACTCTGCTTTCCTCCCCACTTCCATTTCTTTCTGCTTTCTCTCATCAGCCAGTGATTCCAGATTTGTTAATGACACCAAGTGATCAAGGGGATGGTGACCTAGAGGTTGACTACCCTGAAGACAGAGGGAATTGGACGGGTAAGCTGGACTTCCTGTTGTCCTGCATCGGCTACTGCGTTGGGCTGGGTAACGTCTGGAGGTTTCCATACCGTGCTTATACGAACGGAGGAGGTAAGCCCTGCATTCATCAGCTGCCCTTTCGTGAGATACTACCATTCCCTTGGTAGTTTATGTCTGAAAGCTTCATACCCCTATTGAGAACTAGCAGTAGAAGTGGCTCACTGGCAGGACATTTTGCAATCTGAGACAGAACAAAAATGAAGGCCCCAAAAGGTAATAGTGCACAGCATCCTAGGTTAGTCAAGTTGTTTTGCTCTAGAGGCAGAAAATCTCAGAAGCACTTTTTCTAAGTAAGTAAGGTACATGTGGACTTTACTCTGAAGTTTCTTCAACCTTGTATGAAGCAGCATGAAAGGCAAGTGGAAAGAGGAATAGTGTGGTAGAGAAGGATGCTGACTTCATATTAATGTGTGTGAATTATGGCCACCATTTAAAAAAAAAACCCATTATAGCCAATACTTTGCTTTGGTTTCTGTGAAGTTCCCTTGGGCCTCATGTACATTTGTTCAAGGCTGATGTACAAGAATCCAGTGAAATTAGCCCATCACAGCATCCTTGCAGACAGGTTAGAAGGCATTGATTTGAAAGATGGTAGCACACACTATCTAACCTCCATAAATTACGTGCTCACTTGCATCTCACAATAGGAAAAACCAATACCAATTGGGGAAAATGAAACCCAACACCACCTATGAAGTTTGTGAGATGGAGGTGGTACCCAAAATACTTTTTTAGCATATGATTCTGCTCCGTGGCCCATATTTATCTTAATCTTTAAATGGAGATGGGGAGGAAAGAACTAATATTGTCAGCTGTGAATTCAAGGTGTGAATATAAAAGTTTTCGCACTCATTCTCAGTGCTGCAGGCAGGGGTGTTATATCATATACTATTCTGTTCTATTCTATTCTGTTCTGTTCTGCACTGACCCATTTCCTTCATCTCGCCTGCACAACCATCATTTGCTTTGCTAATTTCATACATCTTAATGATAGACAAAGACTCCAGTATGCGTCTTTTGCAATGATAAGGCTGTGGTTGCTTGTCTCCAGAGGCTCCCATTCTTGTGACATTCATGTCGCTGCTGCTGTTTTACTTGAGAACAATTGATTGGCCTTAGGCTGCTCACTGCCTTTCCTTCCTCAGAATGCTTCTGGGCCCTGTAGTTAAAAAAACAGAGGTGGACTGTGGCTGGAGTCAATGACTAAGCTTTGAATCATGCTTGGTTTTTGGGTGGAAACCCAACAGCTAGGGGAGAAAGGTTGGAAGGCTTGAGTCATAAAATCCTGAAGTTGGAAGGGGCCTATAAGGCCATCGATCCAACCCCCTGCTCAGTGCAGGAATACAAATCAAAGGATATGTGCCAGGTGGTTGTCTAAATTTCTCTTGAATGCCTTCTGAGTTGAAGCACTCAGCACCACCTCTCAAGACCATTGGTTTCATAGCCATACTGCTCTAACAGGAGGTTTTTCCTAATATTCAGTTGAAATTTGGCTTCCTCTAACTTGAGCCCATTGTTGAATGTCCTGCATTTGGGGATGATTGAGAACAAATCCTGCCTCTCCTCTGTATGGCAGTCTTTCACGTATTTGAAAAGTACTCCTCCTCTCAGTCTTCTTTTCTCAAGGCTAAACATGGCAAGTTCTTTCAGTCTTTCCCCACAGGGCTTTATTTCGAGCCTCCTGATCATCCTTGTTGCCCTCCTCTGAACTTGTTCCAATTTGTTAGCATCCTTCTTGAAGCGTGGTGTCCAGAACTGGACACAGTAGTTTGCAGGACTTGGAGACAATACTTCTGTTAATGCAGCCTAAAATAGCATTAGCCTCTTTGTAGCCACATCGTAGTGTTGGTTCAGACTCAGCTTGTAATCTACAACAGTTCCAAGATCGTTCTCATTCACAGTATTGCTGAGCCAGGTATCTCCCAGCTGTGTATTTGGTTTCTTTTCCTTAGGTACAGTACTTTGCATTTATCCCTGTTGAATTTCATTCTGTCGTTTTCAGCCCAGTGCTCAAGCCTATCTAGATAATTTTGAATTTTATTTCTGTCTTCCAAGGTATTAGCTATTCCACTCAGATTTGTGTCATCTGCAAATTTGATTAGCATTCTCTGTACCCCTTGATTCATTAATAAAAATGTTGAACAGCACTGCACCCAGGATGGAGCCCTGGGATATCCCACATGTTCGTCGTCGTTTAGTCATTTAGTCGTGTCTGACTCTTCGTGACCCCATAGACCAGAGCACGCCAGGCCCTCCTGTCTTCCACTGCCTCCCGGAGTTGGGCCAAATTCATGTTGGTTAAATATTAATGCAGCCGAAAATAGCATTTGCCCTTTTTGTAACCGCATCACACCGTTGGCTCATATTCAACTCATGATCTATGATGATTCCAAGATCCTTTTCACTCGTAGTATTCCTGAGCCAGGTATCCCACATCTCTTAACTGTTCATTTCTTTTTCCTAGGTGTAGTACTTTGCACTTATCCCTGTTGAATTTCATTCTGTTGTTTTCAGCCCAGTGCTCAAGCCTATTTAGATGTTTTTGAATTTTATTTGTCTTCTGAGGCTATTAGCTATTCCACTCAATTTTGTGTCATCTGCAAATCTGATTAGCTTTCCTTGCACCCCTTTATCCAAGTCATTAATAAAAATGTTGAAGTCCCCTACTTGTTACCTCCTCCCAATTTGAGAAGGAGCCATTAATCATCATCCTCTGAATACAGTTTTGTAGCCAACTGTGTATCCACCTGACCATTGTTCTATCCAACCCAAACCTAGTTAGCTGCTAATCAGAATATCATGGGGCACTTTGTCAAAAGCTTTGCTGAAGTCAAGATACTATGTCTACAGCATTCCCTCTGTCCATCTGAGGGGTTACCCAATCAAAAAATGAGAACAGATTAATCTGGTAGGATTTGTTCTTGACAAATCATTGTTGGCTCCCAGTTATTACTGCTTTGTTTTCTAGATGCTTGCATAGTGACTGCTTTATAATCTGTTCCAGATTTTTCCCTGGAATTAATGTCAGGCTGACTGGTCTGTAGTTCCCAGGTTCATTCCTTTTGCCTTTTTTGAAGATAGGGACGACATTAGCTCTCCTCCAATCATCTGGTTCCTCACCCATTTCCCATACAGTAATTTCAAGGAAAAAATGGACAGTGGTTCTGAGAGCTCTTCAGCCAGCTCCTTCAATACAATACTCTTGGATGCAATTCATCTAGCCCTGGAGATTTGAACTCATTCAAGGTAATGAAATATCCCTTGACTATTTGTTTATCAATCTCCAGCTGCAATCTTGTCCACTCCACCTGCATTTCACAATTGTCTGGATGGTCCTCGTCTGTCCTTTGGGTAAAGACTGAGCTAAAATAGGAATTGAGCACTTCTGCCTTTTCTTTGTTGTCTGTTATCATTTTTCCAATTCTGTTAAGTAGCTGAGCCACTGTTCCTTTTCTTTGTCCTTTGCTATGCACATACCTGAAGAATGCTTTTTTTTGTTGCTTTTAGTGTTTCTAGCGAATCTAACATTTTGCCCTTCTAATGTGATCTCCCTTTTTGCTGTTGCTCCTGAGCTCTGCTGATTTTAGACTGTTCTTGGACTTTGGCTTTGGATCTTCCCCATCTGGTTTCCTTGACTGCCTGGTAGGACTCTGTTTGCTAGGCCTCCTATTTGCCTTTTGAACCTGATTCCGGACTTTCCTGACTAACGCTCTCAATTATTCAACCCTCTTCAGCCAAGATCTTGCCCTTGGGCAGTTTCTGGGGAATAGATGTCTGATTGGAATACTGAACAGAAACACTCCACTATGCAACGTTTTGTTGCAATTTTCACTTGTACTTCTTGCTATGAAGACTGGCAGGTGTGCTTTCAGGTATCCGCTTGAACGTACGTACACAGACACAGACACAGACACACGCACACACACACACACACAGAGAGAGACACACACACACACACACTCACTCAAGGTAATAAGGTATTCCTTGACTGCAAGGAATTTGTAGTCAAGGAAAAACTGGTATTTGTTTATCAATCTCCAGCTGCAATCCTGTCCCTTCCACTTGCACTTCACATTTGTCTGGAAGGTCATAGTCTGTCCTGAAGAATGCTTGTTTTGTTGCTTTTAGTGTCTCTAGCAAACCTCAACTCATTCTCAGCTTTTGCTCTCCTAATGTCATCCTTGCAACTCCTTGCTACTTGTATGTACTCTTCCTTTGTGGTCTGGCTGCCTTTCCCCTTCCTTATACATGCCCTTTTTTGTTTTCAGGTCCTTCCTGAGCTTTTCATGAAGCCACACTGACTTTTTTTTCAGTCTTCTACCTTTTTTCTTGTTGGAATTATTTGGAGCTTTTTTTTGCCTTTAGAATTTCCTTATTTAGAAACTCTCACACTTTTTGGGCTCCTTTTCTTGTTAGAGTCTCCTGCCATGGGACCCTACTTATCATTGTTCTGAGTTTAAAACTGTTTTTTTTTTAATAATCCAGCATATATGTGTGGCTACACTCTGCTTTGGTTTCCTTTGAAATCAAGAATTCTAATAGAACTCTCACCCAGAGTTCTCCTTAATGCCACTTCCTCCACCAAGCTATCACTATTGGTTAGAATAAAGTCAAGTGTAGCTGTTCCTCTCGTTTCTTTCTTCACTTTTTGTAAGAGAAAACATAAAGTCAAGTGTAGCTGTTCTTCTCGTTTCTTTCTTCACTATTTGTAGGAGAAAATTACCAGCCACACAAGCCAGGAATTTCTTGGAAGGGCCATACTTGGCAGAATTTGCCTCCCAACAGATATCAAGATAATTGAAATCTCCCATCCCTACTAAATTGTGTCTCTTCGAAGTCCTTGCAATATGTTTTTCAGCAGTTTCATCTGCATCCTCTCCTTGATTCAGTAGCAGACTCCAACTATCATGTTTCTTTTTTTACCCCAACTACATTGATACGGATGCTCTCAATGGGACGACCGATCTTCTCCTCCTGTATATCCATGCAGGAATGTGTATTTGTTACGTATACTTCAACTCTGTCTCCCTTTCTATTGTTTCTGGGTTTTT